CTGGTGTTGGCGCCGGGTGCCGGTGCTGGTGCTGTGAGCTGGTAATGCACGTGGTAAAATGTTCAGTCAAAAATAAGCTCTCATATTCAAAGCAACACCAATTCCCAAGACATAAATGATAATATCATTAATCTAAAATTAACTGAACAATATTAAAATATTAAATTGAATTTGAATTATATAGTAATGAAATTAAAGATAATTTGGAAACACATTAAAATTTGGCTTGCATTGAAACCCAAATATGTTTTAATCTACAAATGAAGGAAATTAGAAATAAAAAGAGTTAAAACATAATTGAAATAGAATTAGATCTGAATTTCGATATAAATTTGATTTTGAATTGAAAAAGAATTAAACTAGAATTTGGCTATTTAGGGGTGTTAATTATTCGCCTTCTGATTCTGATGTATTTAACCAATTGCATTGAAGAAAAATAAAACAATTCAGATCCTAAAAAAGAAATATGATTTTGCATAGGAATTGCATGGAATATTTATTCTTTTTGTAAATATCTAATCTTATGGATCTAGACATATCTTTTAAATATATAATTGAATGAATAAATATGTTTACCAATTGCACATAGAACAAAAGAATGCAAATTTCATAATCCTATCCATATGAAATCATCATCAAATGAGCAAAGCCCTACATTGTACGAACAACTTTCATAATCCTATTAATGTCATATCATCTGCAAAAAGAGAAATATCTTACAACATCAGAATTTTCCCAACCGCACCCCCCATGACAACCCGCGCTCTAAAGACATATTATTGAACATCGATAATTACATGATTTGATATTTGGTTATATATATATTTATTTTAAATTATTCTTTTGATATTTGGAGATTTTATGATTTTAAATATTTATTAATGTGATAATTATTTCGAATTATAAATCATTAACGATTGCATGATATTACAATTCATTTTTTATTGGATATAAATTTCAAAAATATTGATTTTTTATGATGCAACGGACATATAGGATCGAATATAATTGGTTGTTGTTCTTGTTAATATTTGTTTTTTGTTGTCGATTGTTTGTATTGAATAGATATTTTTCAGAAGGGGTGGCCATGGGGCCTGGTTTTTTGTTTTCGATATTTGTAGACAACTTTTGAAAAAACAATCAGAAGCACAAAAAATATTAAGTAATTTGCAGTAAAAACAACTTAAAACAACAAAAAACAAATAACAACGAGAAAACAAAAAAACAAAAAACAATTCTCAGAGACTCTTGTCTGGATCCCCCCTTTCCTCAACACTTCCCCAGATTTTTTTTGTCTTTTGGTTTTCACAAGGTTTTTTGTTTTTATTTTTCCTAGGTTGTTATTGGTTTTCTTAAGATTTTTGTTCTTTTTGATTTTCCTATTTCGTTCAACCTTCAAGCATGTGAGCCTAAGTCTCAACTAAAGGCATTTTCTTTGCTCTTGCAATGAAAGCGTCTGAGCCCATTACTCCCTTTGTCCTTATCGAAATTTCCATGTACAAGTCTGTGCATTAGCTTCTGATTGGTATCAATGTGGTTACCAATTGCATAATCAATCAATTTGACATGAAATTGTAATGACATCTTGCAATGTGTATGAAATTGTTATGAATCTATGTAAATTGTTATGAAATCGAACAGACAATTTTTTATACACAATTTCTATAATTATTGAAATCTATATAAAAATAATTATCTGCAGAAACTTATAGAGAATCTTTTACAAACATAAAAACGTCTATATAAAAATTTTCCAAATCTAAAGATAAATATAAGCAGAGATCTAGAGGACCATTTATGACCTTTTTCTTTCCTAATTATCTTGATCAAAATCATCTGATTGATTGCTGCTTCCAAAACAATAACATGACCCTGATTCAGGAAGACATAATAGAAATTTGTTCATATGGAGAGAGCAGGAGTAGATTATATACGTATTTATACGGAGAGCGGCTGTCATTGAAACATTTATCTAAAAATTTGGGAAACCAAAACCCAGGCCCCATGACTACCCGCTCTCATATTTTTATCGATAGAATATAAATATATATGGTTAAAGAATAGGATTTGATAAATATCTATTTATTGATATTTTTGTTTCTTAATATGTAATGGTTGAGAATATTGCCTTATCGATAGAATATGTGCTCGCGGTTGATGAATACGATTTGACGTAGAGCATTGTATATCCTTATTTTTTAAAGCAAAAAAGGATTTAAGAAATTTTCATTCTATTTGCTAGAGACATTGGCGAAATAATTGATCGACTTAAATATTTATATAAGATCTTTTGTCTGAATTTCGCCTCTAAGCAAGTCACGCAATGTGTGCACGAATTGGATCGAGGTGCGAGCGAAATTGGTGATTCGTGATGCGAAAAATATGCGGGCGTGGATTTTCTATTTTTTCGTATGATGAATCCGGCATGTTGTAACGATATTTTTTGTGAGGCACGAAGACATACTATTTTACGGAATATTCCTGGGGCAATTATATATATAAGGAGATATGATTTTCATAAGAAAAGAATTTTGTATTATCGATAAAAATACAATTATTATATATAGATCTTTATACAAATAAATATATAAATATAAACATAAATAAATATATTATTATTTAAATATTTTATTAATTTATGCATACGAATCTTTATGTATTTGGAAATTTTCTAGAATATTTTTGAAAATGATGGGAGGACTACCAATATTATTGATAATAGATGAAATGTCGTTGCAAATATTGCATCTATATATATATATATTTATTTTGATCTTGAATTCATTAGGTGATATTAATTAAATTTTATTAATTTGGAAATTGGATATATTTGGGCAAGATATCTGTAAATAACACTTCTTCTATTAGGTGGATACATTGCTATCGATATTTATCGGGAGATAGCGGCAACAATTTATCGTTTTATATGGTATATTACCGCAATAAAATACAACATATATAATATTCCTTTTAAATATAATATATATTCAATATTGAATTATTTGCATTTTGTTTATGGTTTATCGAAAATGCGTATTATAGCCTGTCCACGTTCTTCCCCGGTTTTTTGTCACAACGTAATTCCCATTAGTGGCGGAATTAAACAATTTGCGATCATATTGTTCGAATCCGAAATATAATTATAATCAAGATTTCTCGGAAATACAAAAATATATTTATTAATTTTAGTTTTTTTATTATAAAACATATTATTTCAAATTATTCCAATAAAAATGGTGCGGCAAAGATTGTTTATACGATCTAATAAAAATCTTACCATCAATAAAATCGATCAAAATATATATAATTTATTCAATACTATCAAGTAATTCTTCTAATTATACTAAATCCAATATTATAATTATTTTTTGCTTCACGAATTTAAAAAAACAAATAATAAAATATATAAACCCATTTTAATATCAATATTATAACATATTCTAAATAATTTAAATATTTATATGGGGGTTGTTCAAAAGTCCTTTCATTTTTTCCAGGCCTTTCGCAGGACCTTCGCGAAGCTTACGCAAACTTTCGCGCGTGGGGTTTTACCACTGTCGGCGAAAATGGTTTTTCGTTGGGCTAGAGGCTTTCAAGGATACATGCAGTTGCCCTGGCACGTCTTGTGTCCTCTGACCACTGACACATTGATTGCTAAGGAACAGGAAGCCAGCCAACCAAGCAGTTCTCATGTTGGTGTGTTTTTGGTTGGCCGCAACCCTCCATGAATAAGAGAGGGCTCAGTCAGGCCAGTTTGCTCAGACTTCCAATTTGCTTTTTCCCGGGCCGGGAAAAAGCAAAATGGTTCAGAGTTCCAATTTGCTTTTTCCGGGGCCGGGAAAAAGCAAAATGGTTCAGACTTCCATTTTGCTTTTTCCCGGGCGTGGAAAAAGCAAAATGGTTCAGACTTCCAATTTGCTTTTTCCCGGGCCGGGAAAAAGCAAAATGTCCAGACTTCCAATTTGCTTTTTCCCGGCCCGGGAAAAAGCAAAATGGTTCAGGCTTCGAATTTGCTTTTTCCCAACCCGGAAAAAAGCAAAATGGTTCAGACTTCCAATTTGCTTTTTCCCGGGTCGGGAAAAAGCAAAATGGTTCAGATTTCCAATTTGCTTTTTCCCGGCCCGGGAAAAAGCAAAATGCTCAGACTTCCAAAATGTATCAGCCTTCCAGTTTGGAACCCGGCCTAGAAACAAGGAGCGCCTCTAGGGCTCGAGCCCATGACCTTCTGCTTATGAGCCTGGCACCTTATCCATTAAACCACAGCTCTCTAAAAAATTTGCTTCTTCCTAGCTTTCCAAAAGCAAACTAGATGTCCAATCTACTTTTCCGTCTCAAACTTCCAATTTGCTTTTTCCCGGGCCGGAAAAAAGCAAAATGATTCAGGCTTCCAATTTGCTTTTTCCCGGGCCGGGAAAAAGCAAAATGGTTCAGACTTCCAATTTGTTTTTTCCCAAGCCTAGAAAAAGCAAAAGGCTCAGACTTCCAATTTGCTTTTTCCCGGCCTTCAGATTTCCAATTTGCTTTTTCCCAACCCGGGAAAAAGCAATCGGAAGTCTAAAGAACAATTGTTCTTGCAGCGTAACCAGGTCACCAACATAACTTACGCAGACCTTTCGCGACTGCAGTAAGAGCACACTCGAAATCAGCCTTTGAAATTCGATCACTAACAAAGAAAAGGTGGGTTTTTAAACGACGCTCATATAATAATTATATAATATTATAAATTCAAATCCTTTACAAAATTATTCCTATCATTTTTATCCTCAAATATATATAAATCCATAAAATAGGCATTTCCATAAAATATAAAATACAATTCGGACTTCCAAACATACACTAATATTATTTCCATCTTATATCATTATTTCCAATACAATACAATAATATATATATATAGAAATATTAATATTCAAAGACATATCTTATATTTTTAACAATTAAAGATAATTAATGCATAATATAATTCATATATACCTTCAATATTACATTCTATTTTATTTAAACAATTCGAAGGATTTCATGTGAATTTTTGCTACCTGTAAAATATTCCAAGAACAAAACGTCGTTCGCACAAATGTTTCAATCGCCGAGAACATGTTTAGACTTCCTTGGATCTTCTAGATCAACAATGATCAACATCCCAAAAATCCCAAAGCCAGCCTGTCTCCGCCATCTGAATCATCACTGGAGTTTTCGATGGACGAAGGCCTTGGTGCGTTTTGGAACTTTCCAGCTGAGACCATGTTCCATTTTCATCAACGGCCTTGGAGGCTGGATGTTCGTAGGCGAAGACACTGCATCCTGACAAGCAAAAAAGATATATACAGTATAAATCACTATAACAATATGGCAACTGAGGTAAGGGCAGGAAAAAAGCTCAGTCAAAAGAATGCAGAACATCAACATAAATAACAAAACAAAACAAACAAAGGAACAACACAAAGAAAGAACGCAAGTATTTTGAGGGTTGGAATCTCCAAAATTGGATCAAGCAAAAACAACTTGATCCTGGCCTCCCAAGCCATGGACACTCCTCTGTGTGCGTCAACAGGTAGACCTTGGCCTCAGAATAGAATCCAAACAGAACATGTAAACACCTTTGGCAGCACAAAGGATATCAAGCTACAGCCGGATCCAGTCCGGTTCCCACTTGGAAGCAGGCGCTTCCTGTCGCACCGCTGCTGGTAAAAGTCTCGCCTGAACTTTGGAGTGTAGTCTTCATACATGCATAAACCTTCGCCGCATAATCAGTCAATGGCTGATGAACCTTTCAACTCTTCTTGAAAACTTTCCTCTGGGTCAAGTACAACTCCTCCAAGTGCTGGTAGAAACGAGGTATTGGCCAAACCTTGAACGAACAAAACACATGCCCACAGAAACGAATTGTGATGTTGTTTAGAAACGGTTGCCACAACACTGAGGGTTGTGAACAACACTGAGGGTTGTGACGAAAGACCATGTATAGTACAGTCCTCTTTGCTGTTTTTTAGTTTGCCTTTGTTTCACCATTTGCAGCAATTGAGGTGCAAGCGGACAATAGCTCGCCTTAGGCAAGTCTACCACCACCAATTTGCGAACAAACCAAAGAGAGGGCCTTGCTTTCAAACGTATCAATTGCACCCATGTTAGGAAACAACGGCTATAATTACAAAAATGTTGCCTCCGAAAATTTTGATGAACCTCCAACCTATTGCGGTTGCACGGGGGGTCTGTGAGGCAGGACTCAGGCTACCGTCATTGAGCTTTGCCCGCTTCGCCACGGGACGGTTGCGTTTTGGCGTGCGATCTTTGGTCGGGTTGCCAGCTTCCCGGCAAAGGACACTTGGCCCACTTGGCGGAACATCTTCAAAGAAGCTCAAAAAGGAAGGAAGGAAGGAAGGAAGGAAAGAACGAATGAAAGAACGAATGAAAGAACGAGGGAAAGACAAAAAAAACACAGGCAGAACGAACATGAACGAACGAACGAAAGAACGACATAAAGAAAGACAAACACACACACAAATACACACCAGGGGTTGTCCGAACGAGAACGGCACAGTTTGACGACACCCAAACCGACAAGCAGCTTCTCAGATCAGTGCGCTTCGCAAGCACTGCCCGAGCGTCTTTGTTGGCTGCCTTGTTGCTTCAAATGCATCAGAAACGGGAAGGACCGAAGGAGCAATGGCGGCAAGAGGGATAGCACTTGGTGCATGGAGCATCGTCAAAGGAATATTATGGCAGCAAGGACGGGCGAGAGAACAGCTGCAAGGCCACCGCGCCACAGTGGAATTGAGTGACCAGCAGTGACTAGCACGTCACAAGGTCACGTCGAGAGCTGAGGATGTTCGAGTGGTCTGTCATGATTCTTGGTGGGAGACTCAACGTCCGTCATGTCAGTACAATCCCAGTGACTATACTGCACGGCATAGTAAACAGTGGCAAGCATCTGAATTCTCTTTCTGTCCCTCTCTTCGTTCAACGAAAGGGACTCCTCATCTTGGACTGGGGATCTCAAAAAGAACAAATTGTTTACTTCGACTTTACAAGACCACCGTCATACGTTTCCGTTTGGAACCTCTTGCATGCCCTTCTCTGGGCAAACCAAAATTGGCTCAAGTATGTGTACTTCTTTGCAAAAACACTGACGGTATGTTTCGTATTTCTCATTTTCCCTGCACCTGCCCCTCTATTCCACGGAAGCAAATGCAAACTTATTTCAGCTGTCTAATTGCTGAGTCTAAATAGAAAGGCTCTTGGCAGCACACCATCTGCCAGTCGCGAGCAATGCACCACCTCAGAACTGCATAAGTTTCAATCTTCATTCTCAAGAAAAATGCGCCTGATTGCTGGTGCTCCAGCTGATAGATTTAAATTTGACGAATTTTAGCATTTGTCTATATAGCGACAAAACTTCCTCGTGCTGCTTGTCAAATGTACACCGTTCATGGAACCATGCCCCTTCAGCTCCCAGCTAGCTGCGGCTGCCGATTGTTCTGTGAGACGATGTGCTCTGTGGTGGTCTTGGTTTTTCTATGCTTTTCCGGTAGGTCAGGCACAAGTGAAAAGAGCAACTGAACACAACTGAACGACTGAACTTGCAAAACAACGAAACCCAACCACTAGCATGGTCAAGCCCACAACTAGCTTGCAAATCAACCAACCCCCAAGAGCGCTGAGCTTCTGCGCTGGTCGCTCTGGTGGCGCACGCAACAGCAACCCCACCTCCAGAACCTGGCAAACGAAGGTGCAACGAAACAACTAGCCTTTTCTGACTGGACGGAAGGCTTCACCCTATTGGCACACACCCTAAATGTGCTGAACTCATTTTGACCGAGTAAGGCTACCCATCTCAGGCCTGCAACGGTGTTTGCTCAATCTCCTTGAGAAGCTCATTGGCCTAAAAGCACTCGCCATTCGGACAAAAGGACTGCCACGGAGTTCCAAACCAACTCAGTGATCTTCCAGCGCTCTCGCCTCATCTACGTCATTGTGCACCTCACCAGCTCTTCTCATGATCTCTGCACACCTGAGACTCTTGGGTTCGTGATGGTTCATGCGTATCCGTCCCAACTGAGCTCTGAGAGATGGAAGACGCACGAGATATAGGCGTTTGCGAACGGACATCTCAGGCCCTCTCTCAGTCTCACCCAGAACTGGTGCAACTGAGGTCTCTATGAGCCTTGGTCCAAGGTTGGAACAGCCATGAAGCTTGTAAGTTTGCACATGTTTTTGGCGTTTCCCTACGGCATCTTAAGTTCTTAAGCTTTAAAATTGTGCATGTCTTTTCCGGTTTTGACTTTTCCAGCTATGTCTCTGGCAGGCGTAACCGCTGCAAGGTGTCACCCTCGCAAGCTGGGAATGGGCTTGGCAGCGCTGCCTTGGACGATCGTCTGACAGCACTCCCGAGCCGTCGAACCACCTGTTCTGGTTTAGTCAAATGGCAAACCAATTCCCAAACAATGCTATATATAACGACGGCCCGAAACTAAGAATGACTTTTGTGCCATTCCGTTTCAAAAAGAACCCCTCCTAAAAATCATTTTTGATAGATTTTGGCTATAAAACACCGCTCCTGTGCAGGAAAATAAACTTAGCATGCCCCAAAAGTGGCGCATTCTAAGTTCTAGGGGTGTTTGAAAAAAAGTTTAAAAAAAAATCAGCGGCCCAAACAACTTAGAAGCAGTGCAACACAACCATCATTTGCAAACAAATGCGACTGGGGCTTTGGATTTTGGAATGCCTCTGCGCAAAACTTGTGTGTTTTCAAAAACAGTAGGCAAACTTAGAATCACCAGTCAGTGGCTACTTGAAATAACTCTGTTTTGAGCTGGTTCCTTTCATTTCCCTTGACTTTGGTCGATGTTT